TAGAAAAGCCAGAAAAGAGCGTCTACACTGGCCCCGATCCTCCAGAAAAAGCGCCCTTTTCCGGAGGATCTTATTCCTACTTTGAAGGAACCTCTGATCTTATTCCTACTTTGAAGTAGGAATAAGATCCTCCGGAAAAGGGCGCTTTTTCTGGAGGATCGGGGCCAGTGTAGACGCTCTTTTCTGGCTTTTCTAAAAGCCGGAAAAAAGCGGCGGACATTTTTATTTAAATGCCGCGGGGGATATTTAAATCCCCCGCGCATTTCCCTATTGCGATTTCAAAAATTACCATGCCCCTTCCGGAAAAGGGGCCAATGTAGACGTAGCCTCCATGAATAAGCCTCAGGTTCAGAGATGACTCAATCACTGCAGAGGGGTTGGTCTCTTCTGGCAGGGATCCTCTTCGGGCAGGAATCAGGTTGCTTCGATCCCAGAATTTCCCCTCACCACAAAGGGGTGCAAGGCTCAAGGTGCAGGCCATACAACTGCACCAAAATTCAAACTATAACCTCCTACCCCAGCATTCAGACACACACAGCAGGCAGCAGCCCCGAACCAGCAGACAGAGCCGAGCTGACCATGCAGTGACTGGTCTCACCCAGGGAGCTGGAGAGCCAACTCAGCCTGGCTGGGGAAGCCTCCCAACAAACTCCACAAACTGGGAATTAACAGTGGAGAGATAAAACCCAGCTGAGGGATCCTGCCTTCAGGTCCCTAGAGCCTAGTTCTCAGGGGGAAACCCTGGGGCTTACTAGCTCCCACACAGCCAGCCTTCTCCTTGCCCCAGCTGGCTCCGGACTTTCCCAACCATGGCTCCTCCTTCCCCCCAAACTCTCTGGGAGGGGCATCTCACTCCCCATGGGTTGCCGGGCAGACTCTGTCCCTGGTAGGGAGGGGGAGCCAAGGCAAACTCAGTGTGCCTGTCCATGAGCTGCCAGCAGACAGAGCCCCAGGAATCCAGGTAATCTCCTTGGGGGTTACAGAAGCATAAAATTCGCTAAGATGACCTCATGTTAGACACACAAATTCTTGTTATGCAACAATCTCCTCCTCAAATGAAGTCAGGATTAAGCTTCATTTTAGGTGTGAAGGAAGTTAGGCAAAGTGTGGAGCAAATATCTCAAGTAGTGGAGTTCTAGTGCACAACAAGAAAGTCAAGACCAGTAAAGGCTAGCTGACTTTCTAGTATATTTTAAAGCAGAAGAGTGTCAAATACTTCTGGGACCACTAATGAAGGAAGATAGCATACTTCCTAGACAATGAGGCAAGGCTAATTAAAATGTCAGATAACACAAGTAGTATTGTTTGAAATATATTTTCAAGCATTCAAGAACACCTCTTTATCAGCTATGAACTTAGCTTTTCTATAAATAAAATCCTTGGCATTTTAAGAGCAATCATACTGATCTGACCTCTGCTTGCTATCAACCTAGACTGGCAAATCAAAATGTATATGACATTTTAAATGATCCCAACAAATACGCTCTGATGTGTTGAACAAAGTGGTTAGTTAGGGACTGTTCTCTACTTGAGGGCAAATATGCCTGGAAAGTTTAACTGGTGTAAAAAAGTGGAAATTTTCAGTAATTAATAGTATATTTTCTTTTAGAGTTTTCTGGCAGTGTCTGCTTGGAATGGCTGCATGGGATTCTTATGTTACAGACACTCATCCATGTTACTTCTGCCCTATTCCAAAATAGGGTGCAAGTGTAGACATACCAGCTACATCTAGACTGGCATGATTTTCCGGAAATGCTTTTAACGGAAAAGTTTTCCGTTCAAAGCATTTTCGGAAAAGAGCGTCTAGATTGGCATGGATGCTTTTCTGCCAAAGCACTTTTTGTGGAAAAGCGGCCATGGCCAATCTAGACGTGCTTTTGCGCAAAAAAGCCCCGATTGCCATTTTCGCGATCGGGGCTTTTTTGCGCAAAACAAATCTCAGCTGTCTACACTGTCCCTTTTGTGCAAAAGGGACTTTTGCTCGAACAGGAGCCACATAGTATTTCCACAAAAAGCACTGATTTCTTATGGTAGGAAGTCAGTGCTTTTGCGGAAATTCAAGCGGCCAGTGTAGACAGCTGGCAAGTTTTTCCGGAAAAGCGGCTGATTTTCCGGAAAAACTGGCCAGTCTAGACACAGCCATAGGGATCATATGCATAATGAAAGACTACTGAAAATATGCTTTAATAATCCCATAATAAAAAAATACTTGTTTGTTGTCACTTGACTGTTTTCACTTGCTTCTTTCTTAGATCCTCATTCTGCAAGGAGCTTGGCATGGATAGCCCCTGTGTCAGCCCAGAGCCACATTGACTTCAGTGGTGTCTCATGGGTGGCATCTATTGTAGGACTGGGGCCGTAGTTTCTGTTGCTTTGCAGATCAGTATTTCTTCACTTGTGTCGTGAGAGGAGCGATCAGTCAGCCTTTTGTTGTCATAGGAAAATAATGAAACGGTATAATACCAGACCTCAGCCCACTGCCGCATTGCTAATCATTCTCAATTGCCAAGCTGTGGAACTCATTTCAGAACCTGGCATCTGGGTCTTTGGCACACCCCTCTGACAGTTGCGGTGTGCAGTTGCCTCTGGGTTGCTAATAGCAAGAATGATGATTGGCTGCCTTGTGCTCTTGAATCTATTTATTTTGGACCTTTATTTTACTATTTACTTTGTAAACACATGCCCCAGGCATGTTCAAGGAGACATGCACAATGCCCAATACCATGTACAATGTCAGCTAGTTAGATCAGAGTCAAAAGCTGCCGCCTTTTTGGAAAACACCTGAACAAAGAGAGGGGCTTTCCCTTAAAGTCATTGGGCTACAGCATGTGTGTGTGCAACTCTGTTGAAGGCAAAGGAGTTGTACCTGCTTATACCAAGGCTGAATTTGACTCAATAGCTTTTATGTCTCTCAGAAGGATGGACTCCCACGCTGACAAACAGGCACACAAACTCTCTAAAATATATACCAGATAAGGAACCTGATTTTAGGGTTAAACAAAGACAAAGCTTTTCTTACTAAACAAACCACTTTGTTTTTACAGGTTCTATGACAGTATAAACATGCTATTTCCTCTGCTTCCACCCTCCCCCACTCCTTGCAAAGACAGAGTCAATAATGGCCTTGGCTAATACTTCCTAGCACTGGTGTGTATCTGGATAACAGAGGTGGATTTGTGGGTTCAGCTCAGTACAATGTATTTTCCTTCATGCAGTCGCCCGCAGCAGCATTCACCCTTTCTCTGCACTTTGCCAGTTCACCACATTTTGCAGCAAGAGAGGCTGAGTTGGAGGGAGGGAGGGAAAAGCCTCTCTCCCTTTCTTCAGTGAGCTGGAGATAGGGTGTGGGTGTGAATAGGGTTGCCAGGTGTCCAGTTTTCACCCGGCCAGTCCGGTTTTGCCACCTTTGTCCAGTAAAAAACCCCGGAAAATATTTTGTTTTTCTCAGCTCGAAGGCCGGTGGGGACATTCTTCCCTTGCTGCATCTGGTGGGGGCAGGGGAGCAGGAAGCATGGGGTTATTTAAAGGCACAGTGACCTTTTTTTACTCAACCAATTTTTTTCCCCATTGGGTATTTTTTTTTAAGTATCTGGCAACCCTAGGTGGGAATGGAGAAATCATTTTCTCTCTCACACACACGCTTTCCTCCCCTTCCCAAGAGGGCTGAGGTCCTTCTTCAAATGGCTCTTGCTTGGGGATTGGGGCAGGGCCGGATTAAGGGGGCGTGGGGGGCCAGCCGGGCAGCTGCCTGGGGCACCAACCTCATAGACTCATAGACTTTAAGGCCAGAAGGGACCATTATGATCATCTAGTCTGACCCCCTGCACAGTGCAGGCCACAGAATCTCACCCACCCACTGCTAGAAGAATCCTCTCACCTATATCTCAGATACTGAAGTCCTCAAATGATGGTTTAAAGACCCCAAGATGCAGAGAATCCTCCAGCAACCTATGGGGGGCGCCTGATGGCAGCTCTAAGGGGTGCAGTGTGCCAGGGGCGAGGCTGCACATGCATTGCATGCCTGCTGCCCTAGGCGTCGGAATGACTCAAATTGGCCCTGGATTGGGGCACCTAAAGGGCTCTCCCCCAACACTGGCTCCATTCTTGCAGTGCTCTTCCCTCTCGTTTCCTGAGCAAAATGGGATCACCAGTGATGCAGCCAGTGTAAGGGAGGCTCAGGCTGGATCTGCACAGAAGTTCCCTGAGTCCAGGGCCATCAGGAGTGGGGAGAGGGCAAAGGGGGCAGTTGCCCCAGGGCCCAGTGATTTAAAAGGTCCCAGGGCTATGGGTTTCCCCACTGCTACCATGGCAGCATTGGCAGCCGGAGCCCCCAGGCCTTTTAAATCGCCACCAGAGCCTGGATGATGCTAAGAGCTGACTGGAGATGGGGCAGCAAGGTCCAGGTGGTACTGAGGGCAGGCTGCCCCTAACCCTGCCCCAGGTCCCACCCCTTCCAGGGGCCTGGAGCTAAGCTCCCCCCTCCCATTGCCCAAAACCTGGCGAAGTCCATTGCTAGTCCTACCTGAGCGAAGGAACGTGCTTTCCCTGCTAGTCTGTATCGCTTGTTAGAGAGAGGCCAGGACCCCACCATTTTCATGACTGAGCCACCTGGAGCTTCTGAGCTGGAGCTTGCCTACTCCTGCAGTAAGAAAATGTTTAGTATTTTAATCTCTCTTCCCATTTTTAGAAATAATTTATGTATGAACACACACTCTGCTTACTAATCATTTCTGAAACGAATGTGGAATTTTTCTAAAATTAAACGATCATTCTTGCCTCTTCACACTTGCCTGTCATATCTTTCTTAATGCAAATCAGTCATTGACTGGAGACACCTACTGTAAGAAGCTATTTCAACTGTCTCATTGGTAATAAGATGATTTTAAAAGTGAAAACAGCTTTGGAGAGATAAACTCGGTTGGTGGAATAGGGGGAAAATGGAAAAAAAAGAGAAGCTCTTTCTTTGAAACCTAGTGAATGGCCACTCCCTCCCAAAGCCAGAGCTATAGCCTTGCACCCCAATTCCTTAGCCCCCTCCCCACCCTAACCATTTAGATCCCACTGCTTTCCTAGAATGCAGGAGTATAGAATTCAGGAGTTCTGATTCCCAGTATTCTGCTGTTGTCTAGCAAACACCTGTCACCACTAGCCAAATACACGTCATATCTCCTTTCAGTTCGAACAAAGGATAAGAGTTATTCCAGTTTCTGTAGCAGTATTCTGAATGGAGGAGTTGAAGGCTCACATTTCACACTCTGGTGCAGATCTGTGGGTGAGGCCTGGAAGGGAACCGGATAGAGTTCCTGTTTTCAACATTTTCTAAAAACAAACCAACCCGCCCATACAAAACAAACACATTTGTTTAGTTATGAGAATGAGAAAGTATCCTTTTAACATGTTTTATTATGATGAAATATTCTAATGTGTTAATTATGGCCTGACGCCCAACAGATCACCAGTGTCCTAGTCTTTTGTTATGGGTCACAAATTGCAATTGAAATTGCACACTGAAGTGAACACTATCTTCCTTGAGAGGAGCCTGTGACTTTAGTCTCTTTGATGCAATGTCCATAGATGCCTCCAGCAAAGTAAGTAGTGGAGATCTTTACTGAGGGCATGAGTAGTTTCAATGCCATTGGGCAGCTTCTCTTCCATTACAAGTTATGGAAAATTATGGCTCTTGCAAGAGAAAACTATAACTCTGTCTTCTCCTAACATGCCAGTGCTTGACTTTGCAATCTAAAAAGAGCTCTTTTAACAGAAGGCTTCTTGTGCACATTTTTTTAATAAAGAAAAAGGTAAAAATATTCTGTGGTGTGCAAACATGACAGCCCTCCCTCCACATCATGAGTCATCACAGCACGGTTTGAGGCCTGAACTGCTAGCACTCCAGCATAGCATTGCTTGAGTTACAGGACTCACTGCATTTGGCCTGGTCTAAACTACAAAAACCACCTTGCAGCTACCTACTTATGAACATGTCTGCCATTCAAATGGTCTCCCACCAATGTTAGTGCCTTATTTTGGTGACTTAGTAACACCATCTCCCTGAGGGGCATTCAGCTACGCTTTGTGTACTAAGGTTGATGCCATGCAATTATGATCACTGAATTTCCTATGTCAACCCTAACAGTCCTCCAGCAGCTGTCCCACAATGCTTGACATTGACTACTCTGCTCACAAGTATGAACTCCACTGTCCCAGAGGTCAAGGAGAAAAGAAAGAAAGAAAGAAAGAAAGAAAGAAAGAAAGAAAGAAAGAAAGAAAGAAAGAAAGAAAGAAAGAAAGAAAGAAAGAAAGAAAGAAAGAAAGAAAGAAAGAAAGAAAGAAAGAAAGAAAGAAAGAAAGAAAGAAAGAAAGAAAGAAAGAAAGAAAGAAAGAAAGAAAGAAACTCCTACCTCTGCCCCTTAAAGCCCTGCAGATTTTTAATGCTTTTTTCTGATTGTCCAGCTTGATGAGGATACTTTTCACTGATGTGTGCAAAGGCCTATAGATCATGCCAGCTACCTGTGCTAGACCAGTAGTTTTCAAACTTTTTTTTCTGCAGACCACTTGAAAATTGCAGAGGGTCTCAGTGGACCACTTTATGATCTTTCCAAATGTTGCTTGTATCATTGGTGATTTGTTGTAAAACACTTTTGTCCAACACATTATCAATAAACTACAGCCTATATTGGAACAGGATACCATACTCAAAGAGGCTCTGGGAGACAGACCCATAGTCTCCTATAGACAACCACCTAACCTCAAGATGATTCTTACCAACCACCACAGGACATACCACACTAATACCAACCCTGGTACCTTCCCTTGCAACAAACCCCGTTGCCAGCTTTGTCCACATATTCATTCTGCTGATACCATTATTGGACCTAACCAAGTGAGTTATAAGATCAAGAACACATATTCCTGCGCATCCAGAAATATAATCTACGCTATCATGTGCCGAAAGTGTCCGTCTGCTATGTACATTGGACAAACATCTCAGACACTTCGCCAAAGGATTAATGCCCACAAAACAGATATCAGACAAGATCACAAAGAGAAAACAGTTTCTTGCCACTTTAACCAGAAAGGACACTCTCTAAATGACTTAGCCACCTGCATTCTGCTACAAAGACCTTTTACATCTGCACTTGAAAGGGAATCCTCTGAACTGTCATTCATGTTAAAATTCGACACTTACCACCAGGGACTTAACAAGTCTTTGAACTTTCTCACCCATTATCAAGACAGTTTCCCCAATTATCACCTGTAATACCATTAACTCACAAACATCCCACTCTCCCTACCTTTAATATCAGCAATTCACAGACACTTACCTTCCTTCCTCCCCCTTCCCACCCCCCCGCCTCCTCCTTCTGTTCTGCAATGTGATTTGTCCTTTTCATATTTGTTCATTTTTTTAAATTGTATCCTTTGGTATATATGGTTGTGACTACTTTCTTCCACTATTTGATCTGAGGAAGTGGGTCTGGCCCACGAAAGCTCATCATCTAATAAACCATCTTGTTAGTCTTTAAAGTGCTACATTGTCCTGCATTTTGCTTCAACTACCCCAGACTAACACGGCTACATTTCTATCACTATTCTACATGCAAGGCACTACATTTAGCCGTTTGGAATGGAAATCCATCAACCATATGAAGAAACTCGCACAGATACAGACAGACATCATCTTTCTATCCAAGTGCAAGAAAATGGACATCGTACCCAAAGGACTGAAAGTGAACAATCCACTAAGATCAACATACTTCACTGACTACAGTGAAAGACTCTGCCTCACACTATCCAAGAAATTAAGAAACCACCTGATAAGTATTTTATACAAGAAACAGAAAACCATCAAGAATGACATTTCTAACTTAGATCGTCTCATCTCAAGACAAACATCCACACCGACTGACACCTTGCAAGACTTTTGTTCCACCAGACAAGAAATCTACTATACACACTTCTATTCCCTACAACAAAGAAAAGACAATAAATTTTCTAACCTGCTCCATACCACTGGCTACAACAGCAACTGCCTCAACCCACCGGATAATATTGTTAACCTCTCCAGCTACAAACTCAATCCAGCAGAAGAGTCTGTCTTGTCCCGGGGTCTCTCTTTCTGCCCCACGTCCCCCACAAACTGGATACAATTTTGTGGTGACCTTGAGGCTTTTTTTCGCCGCCTCCGTCTCCGAGAATATTTCCAAACCACCACTGAACATCAATCTGACCTACCAGATCCCCCCTACCAACACCAAAGGAAAAATAATTCTATATGGACTCCCCCTGACGGTCGGAATTACAATCTGGATTTCTATATACACAGCTTCCGCAACAACGCACAGACTGACATTATTCGCAAACGACAACAAGCGACACACAATCTTAGCCGCGCTGAACACCATGCCATCCAGAGTCTCAAAAACAACCTGGACATTGTAATCAAACCAGCTGACAAAGGGGGTGCTGTGGTCATTATGAATAAGGCCGACTATAACCAGGAGGCAACCAGACAACTCTCGAACACCACATTTTACAAACCTCTCCCCTCTGATCCCACCTTGGACTACCAAAAGAAACTACACTGTCTCCTTAAAAGCCTCCCCACAGCTACTCGGGAACAAATCCTCACAGAATCACCTTCTGACCCCCGACCAGGATTGTTCTATCTACTTCCCAAGATCCATAAACCTGGGCACCCCGGACGTCCCATCATCTCTGGTATTGGCACGCTCACTACTGGTCTATCCAGCTATGTAGACACTCTTCTCAAACCCTTCGTAACCAATACCCCCAGCTATCTCCGAGACACTACTGACTTCCTAAGGAAACTACAAAACATCGATAACCTCCCCAATAATACCATCCTTGCCACCATGGATGTAGAAGCTCTATATACCAACATCCCACATGAAGACGGATTACAAGCAATTAGAAACACTATCCCAGAGGACACTACTGCCAACCTGATAGCAGACCTATGTAACTTTGTTCTCACCCACAATTATTTCCAGTTTGAGAACAACTTATACCTCCAGATCAGCGGCACAGCCATGGGTACACGCATGGCCCCACAGTATGCTAACATCTTTATGGCTGACCTAGAACAACGTTTCCTCAACTCCCGTCCCCTTTCACCCCTCCTCTACCTACGGTACATCGATGACATCTTTATGATCTGGACACATGGCCAAGAAACACTGGAGATATTCCACAGAGATTTCAACAACCTACACCCCACCATCAACCTCAGCCTGGACCATTCTACACGAGAGATCCACTTCCTGGACACCACCGTACAAATCAACAATGGAAAATTAGACACCACTCTCTACAGAAAACCCACTGACTCATACAGTTACCTACATGCATCCAGCTCCCATCCAGAACACACCACACGATCCATCGTCTATAGCCAAGCCCTTCGATACAACCGCATCTGCTCTAACCCCACTGACAGAGACCAGAAGCTTCAGGATCTCTACCAAGCATTTATAAACCTCAACTACCCACCCGGAGAAATAAAAAAGCAAATTGAAAGAGCCAGACGAATACCTAGAAACCATCTACTTCAAGACAGACCCAAGAAAACCAACAATAGAACACCACTTGTCATCACCTACAACCCCCAACTTAAACCTGTCCAACACATTATCAATAAACTACAGCCTATATTGGAACAGGATACCATACTCAAAGAGGCTCTGGGAGACAGACCCATAGTCTCCTATAGACAACCACCTAACCTCAAGATGATTCTTACCAACCACCACAGGACATACCACACTAATACCAACCCTGGTACCTTCCCTTGCAACAAACCCCGTTGCCAGCTTTGTCCACATATTCATTCTGCTGATACCATTATTGGACCTAACCAAGTGAGTTATAAGATCAAGAACACATATTCCTGCGCATCCAGAAATATAATCTATGCTATCATGTGCCGAAAGTGTCCGTCTGCTATGTACATTGGACAAACATCTCAGACACTTCGCCAAAGGATTAATGCCCACAAAACAGATATCAGACAAGATCACAAAGAGAAAACAGTTTCTTGCCACTTTAACCAGAAAGGACACTCTCTAAATGACTTAGCCACCTGCATTCTGCTACAAAGACCTTTTACATCTGCACTTGAAAGGGAATCCTCT